GAAACGAATACCGGAAACTTGAGAGAAACTTGAGAGAATCTTGAGACCGACAGACTTTTGGGCAAGATACGGCCTTTCGATAACTCAAAGTTGGTGCTCAATCCTCGTCTTCATTTCGGTAGTCGGCTTTTAGGAAGCAACGAATTTTCACGCGCTAAAGACCACTACCAGCGTGATCTTCCTTTCATGCCCTAGGGCCACAAATTGACAACCATTTAGTGGCGATGATTTTTGGGGGATTGGGGGGGTGTGGGTGATGTCTCGGGGACATGGACACACCCCCGGATACGGACAGTTGGTGGGGCTGTCAGAGTCCAGCATGATGGGCCAATTGTTCACTCATCAAATGGTACAAATTGGTTGCTCTCTTTGTCAATGCTTTCTCTGTTATGTTGCTCCATTACGCCGGAGACCCGTTGATTTTTTCATTTTTGACTTTTTCGTATTCTCACGGTCTCAGGACCACATTTCTTTAATTTTCTAGCTTGTTTTTTCTAACTTGTTCTGAAATTGACGAAAATAAAATTGAGATGTTTTTGATTGCATGCAACCGAGTCTAATTTTTTTTGCTAGGGATTTATTTATAACGTTCCGTTTAACGTATCCGCTAGATTTCTCAGAACTTCCAAATTCTAGCAGCAATTTCGGGTTTTCCGAGTTTTCCGAAATAGGCGGTTATATATCGTCTAAATTTTGCTTGCGACTTATGGAGTTGTTGTCATAGTTTTGAAATTATTTTTACTTTTCCGCTTCAATTTTAGACGACAGTGTGGTTTTTACACCCTAGAAACCCCCACCGCTTCCAAATTCCAGGTTTCCGATCGTTTCCGGTCAAACCCAATAAATCTACTTGCAGAACTTTTGACAACCCCCCCCCCCCCTGATCAATTAAATGACTATAAAACTAGGAAGTGGTGGTCAGAATCCCTCGAAAACCGGGGCCCCAGCAGACCCCGAACCGGCAATTATCTGCCCGAGGGTAGTCCGACCAGCCGGTAATGGATGATGGGGTATGCAACAGAACCTACTGTCCCAATAGCCTAGCCCATCCTTTAGGGGGTTCGAGTGGTTTTTGCTCGTGAAAAAGAAGCCCCATTCAAAGAACCTCATGGCCTTGGTGGTGGGGAGGGGGAGGGTGGCAACAATCAGATGACAGACGGTCGTGTCGTCGGGGATGCTATTGTGGTGGAGACCGGCTTGGATGGTGTAGCCTTACGTAGTTTGAGTTATTCAGGTTTTAACGGGGCCTGTAAGTTTAGCTTAAGCCTTTTAGGAAATACTAAAGGCCATGAATTTCTGCAGGATTTGTGGGGTACCGAATAATTTCCAGAGATTCTGAATTTTTACCGGTTTTTGAGCCTGGAACAGGTCACCGTTGGGTGTTGCAGGAACTAGGAAGCGCCAAAATCGACCCTGTAGCCGGCTAGGTGTCGAAAACTACAAATTAAACCAAAGTGCGACGTCAGAGGGCAGATTTTTTATGACTTTGAGACAAAAATCTAAGCTGATTCATGCTCACTAAGCTAACCGTGGGCGTTTTTTGCATGATCCGTAGCTGTCTAACCTTATTGTCCAAGTCAATTTCCTCGCTTTCGAGGGCCTTTAAAGCGTGACCTTCAGCTTTAAAAAAACTCACCTGAAGCCCTTCAGTGTCATTAACTATAAAGATTTCCGCGACCATTCCCCCACCCTCAAATTATTAATATCAAACTAACGAGCCGCCCAAGTTCCACCAGCCACCCCTATAGCCCCACTCCTCGCCTTCCACCTAATCGCTTAATCGGCTCGTGCAGAGATTACGCTGGCCACTGCCAAAACTAACGGCCATAAGCACTACCCATTTCCAGATCCCGAGAGCCCAATCCCCCTAATGTTGATCTTGAGACCCCAGTGACGACGACACCATGAAACCATAAAAAACACGAGGTCCCGGTGTAAATTGGCCATTCGCGGAAACCCCTGATGCAATATCGCATTAGCCTATGCGCATCGGGGGAAATGTGCTTAATCCAAGTGAGCAAATGGATTATCCAAATGTCCCGGTCATTTTTATGTGATGATTTTTTTGGCTTTCCGTTTCTGAAACTGATTACGGTAGCGAAATTCCATTGGCCGGTTCACGAGCCACGCCCCACCCTAAAAAGTCGTAAAAGTTTACGGTGCGGCTGATAGGGGGAATTTTGGAGCCAGGGGTATTTTTGGGATACTGTAATAGAGTAAAAACCTGGGTAGCTGACGACAAAAAGTAAATTGATTTCAGAAAGTTGAGGGCGGAAAATCCGGCCAAATCTGGATCAGAGGATTTTGGGTGGGGGGTTGGCGGTTACCAAAGTGGGCTTAAGTACGGGCCAGGATCTTTTGCAGCCTGGGTTTGCTTAAATTGCCTGCAATAACTTATAGTTTATTTTATTTAACTTCTCGGGAGAATTATTCACTTTTGATTTCACTAGATAAAGATGATATATTCGATTTTAATGAATTAGAACGATAATCGGATTTTCTAACCATAATAAAAACCGCAAAGTTCATCAAAAAACCCTTCTAAGCGCCGGATACCACAAAAATTTGTGGTGTTCGATCCGGGGATCTCGTGTCATCCCGCGAATTCCGGGGGATTACGGTGGGGAGCGCGGTGGGACTAATGCGCGTTAAGTGCGCGTTTCCGGACCGGAGGACATTCACGCCTTTAGGCCCAGGTGGTTCAAGATTCCGGGCGCCAACTCATAACTTCGCTGGACTACCAATCGGATTTGCTAACATTCCACCAACTCGGGCTAAGCTATGAAAATCGCGCGGAAACGCGGCCGGCCGCGGACGAAGAATTTGGAGCCTAAGAAGGAGAAGGATAAGGTGGGAAAGGTTTATTTAGATTTGGTTTTACGGTGGCTTTGCTTTGACTTAGACCTTTCTGAAGCTTAGGCTTAGCTATTAGCTTATCTCTTAAAGGTATCGAAAGGTTAATTTTCGAAATAGAAGCATCTTGATAGCGACGGTTTTTTCGTCTATGAAGTCGATACCTATTCTCGTTTTAGCCTTTTTCACATTTCCCTCAACATCCATATCAACCCAACGAATGACAGCGATACCATCTACCCGTCGCCACTACTCCCGACTAATTTGCATAATCCGCTTAACCCAGCGCCCGGAGTGTCGCGTACCTTGTTTTCGAGCGCTACCGAAATATCAATTTCGAATCGAGTGCTGCTCGTCATGAGTCACATGACCGAAATTGTTTACACAGAATTTTGAAAAGAGTTAGGCCGAGTAGTTGGGGGGGGGGGGGGTTTCTTGAGCTTTTCATGCTTAAAAATAGTTAAAATCTGCCGCCGGATCAATTTAAACTACTTTTTCGAACATTTGATGACCTAAGAATCATCACACAAACAGCACTAGCGATAATCGGGCTACTCGGAACCAATAAAATCGTTGGAAATTGTCAAAAAAGTCGCTTAAAATAACGAAAAGTATTCCTTGAATTAGAGAATGGATCTTACAAGGGTATTAGTGAAATGAACCAATCAATTAATGATACTTACTCAACTATGCTTTTATGATTATTTAATGCTATTTTTAAGCTAACCGAAAATTCCTAGAGGCTGAATAAAATCAAATTTTGGGTACGATATCTGGCCGCTTTCTAGAGAAGTTCAATGAGAGGCACATCCATGCCTAGACCTGTAAGTAGGCCCCGGACAAAAATGTCTGAAATACAATATAGCAGCAAAGTTTACCCCGAATACCTATAAATCGGGGTACTGTAGCGACGGACCGTCTCACCCCTCCCCCACCTCCCCACTCCCTCCCCGCAAAGGTGGGCGGAGTCCGGAGCGTGGCAAAGTTTCGCGACGAGGCCAAGCCGTATCGGTTGGCTGTGTGTTATTTCAAGGGGTGCCAAGCCATCCCCCCTCATAAGCCTCTTACCAAACCCCGAAGAGCTTCGGAATCGGCTCGTCGGGCCCTCGGGTTTGGTCTTTCTAATGTTGCACCCCTGCATACAGTTTGTCTATCCTCTTCCCCGCGGATTATCCATCATAATCATGCTCAACCCCCCACTCGAACACACCCCCACCCTGCGCCTTTGCATTTTTTGTTGTGTTTAGCCGATTTGGGGTGGAGGAACGGGGGGAGCGGATTATAGGGTAGGGGGAGGCGGATCAGGAAAGGTTAAGCGAGTTAGGTGGCTTAGGGTGAGTAGGGTCTTTAGGAGTGCTAAGTAGCTAGCTGGTAATAAGTTACGTTCTTACGGGATTACAATAGATTTTGTTAGCTTAAGGATGCTGGACATATAGATAAAGTTGAAAATACCAGGAAAATAAAGCGGTTTGAGCAACGATCCCATTTTTACAGGGGCCTTTAAGAGAATTAAGAGTAGGAAATCAGCGGCGGTACCGTAAATTTGCATAAGTTTTTAGATTCTAGCGCACTACATTGGCGAAATTTTGCGAAATTGCAGCCAATAAAATCTCGAAAATCCACCCCCACCTCTACATTTAACCATTGCGCAAAAGTTACGCATCACGCCTCGAAACAATCAAATAAAAATTGAGCAATTTGAGTTGATAATCGTGGGCGGACAGTGGTTGTGCGGGGTTGCGAGTCGAATGATAGTGATCGCTCCTATTCTAGCCATTATTCTAGGTTAAGTCGATTGCCAAACACTGGCCGGAAGGGGCTGATAAGTTGTTGAATTGATACATTAACTACATGCAAAAGCGATCTGTAGAAAATAAATTAAAATAGATTACGAAAATGTATATTAAAGCTTGCTTCACTTCAAAAACTCACGCTACATAGAAGTACACCAGGATAAGATATATAGAAAAAAAATGCTTTCCGAGATTCCGCTACAATACTTTAAACATTCTGTATTTAAAAGTACGGCAGGATACGGTATCTATCATCAAATATACTTTTCTGAATTCCGCTTCGATACTCTGGACCAAATTTCCCAAAATAGTCTTGCTATTAACGTTAAAATCCCTATGAAATCCACCTTTCAGATGGCCTACCCATCCTCCTTTGCCTACACTCATTTCCCTTCATCTTCCACAACTGCCGTCGGTCAGGTACGGTAGCTAGGGCAGACTTTACAACTTTAAGAACCCACAAACAGCGTCAACCTTTCCAGTTTCAGACGGCGTTCAACTACGGCGGGATGGGCACCGCCCTGCCGGCTGTGGCCATGTTCCCGTCGGCGGCCACGGCTTACGGTAGGTTGCAGAGCAATTTTGATTTTGGAGACTGGAGAGGTAGACCGATTATGTGGGGAAATAACTGTGCTTGTTAAGGAATGATCCCGCGGAAGAATCGGCGCGAAAGGACTACGTTTAATCGGCAGCAACTGGATGTTTTGGAAAGGTGGGTCAGGCTTTTGGGTCATTTTAGATTGTGATGTGTGTAATAGAGTTTTAAGACATTTAATACGCCTTTACGACGAGATAGCTTTAATTTTTAGTCCAGATACCTACAATATAAAATCGAAGGATAGTTGCCTTTCATCGACTTTGAGGGCTGCATACTTTTAGAACACGTGAACCTAGATACTTTTAAATACATTAAGACCTGGATGATTTAAATACCTCAAAGCACAGATGCCGTATCATGAAAGCTACGGTATTCTGGAATTGTTGTTATTTTAGCTTATTCGCCCGTACCCATTACCCTGACGTCTTCACACGTGAACAAGTTGCAGAACAAGTGCAACTTCAAGAATCAAGGATACAGGTACTGTAATTGATGTAGAACTTTGCTATATTTAACGAGTTGATCTCTATATACATGCAATATTGATCCATATGGTCCCCTGCTTGACGCGTTACGGTAGGGGGTTGTTATCAGCCCCCTCGATTCTCCCGGCCCCTCCCCGCCAAGCGACGATCCATTCGAAATTTGGGCAGATACGAGTGGGGGAAATCGAGAGGAGGCGTGTAGGGGTTGACGAAAATATGATGTTTGGATATATGGAAATAAGTAAAAGTTGGGAGTATCATAAAGTAGCGCTAGAAAGGAGGGTCGAGTCCATAGAAATGCATAGCGAACTTTGGTTAGGAACCGTCGGGTCGAGAGTATAGCCACGTAGTGATAAAAGTAACGGTTTGAGGTTGGAAAGATATAAAAAGCTGTCTACATTTTTAACGCAAAAAAATGCTTTAAGGTGTGGTTCAAAAACCGTCGCGCCAAGCAACGCCAACAAGACAAGCAAAAGCCGAAAACCGTCGCCCAAACGGTAGCGCAACAGAAGAAGGAGCAAAACCAACGTGAGTACTTTGCGAAAATTGCCATTTTTGTGCGTAACTCAATACGCTTTGTTCCATTACCTTGCGACGTCTTATCACCAAACATGCAACGTCTAATTTCTAGGAGCAGCTGCAGCCGCCGCAGCGGCCGCGATGACTTCTCCGACTTCCGGCCCGGTGGCGCGCCTACTTCCCACATCACTCACGAATACGTCACCAACCCTGCAGCCGGTTTCCTCACCCACCCTATCTTCTACTGTACCCATGGTGCAGACGGTGGGTTTTTGAAAACTACTCTTGTCTTATCGTGCCAAATACAGGAGGCTTTGAAATTCGTACTTTTTTCAGCAAATCAAAGCCGACCTTGCCGACTCCCCGCACAGCAATGACTACAACCCGCAGATTCAAACAAGCCTGGATATGTAAGTTTCTTTGTTGCTTGGGTTTTTAGCTCACTTCTGTAACTATAAATTAAATTTTAGTACCGCTGATTCCAAGCCCGCGTTGGCGACGCTGTCCCCATTGAAGTCGAGCCTATCCACAAATCCGTCTCCTAACAACAACTCCAGCCAGGCCGACAATTCGTGGAGCAGCACGAGCAGCGAGAATACGGTAGGTGGAGCTTGCCACAATTTTTTGGCGACAGGCAGTCATAGAATCTAATTTATGACAATTCAAAATTTATAATACAGGCGCTTCACACAACCGCTACTTCGCAGACCACCCTTCCGGTGTCGCTGTCGGGTACTACAGCGACTATTAATAGCTACTATCCGTTTTATCCGTCAAGCTACTATCCGCAGGTAAACCATAGGGATCTTAAGAGATTTCAATAATCGCTTGGACTCGGTTTTAATGGTCATTTTTAGGTATTCGACCCGACCTACCAATACTACGCTAATCAATACCCAGCCACCAGCTATGGAACGACCACCAATTATTCTGGGTTCTTCACCGGATCCACTCAATGAAAAGGTTTCACGATTTGGATTAATTTTGAGGGGAGCTGCCTTAAGCGTGAAGCTGCCTAATTTGAGCTTGACATTTTGTGAAAAAATCAGACTTTACCCCGCATCCCACCTATTAATTGTGATTTTACATGACTTGAATTTTTGATGATAGTGTAACATTTCCCACCTTACAGCCTTTGCCTGCCCATTGCCCCAGTATTACATCTGTCCGTTAAATTAATGTCGATAGGTATGTATTGTTGTTTGTAATTTCCGGTTTTTGTAATTGATTGCTTGTACTTGTGTGGCTTTATTATATATATTTTGAATAAATTCAACGGAGATGGGACTCGGGATATGGGCTCATTGGTGGAGATTGATATATTTGTTGGGGACGAAGCCGACCATGCCTTCGAGGGTTCGGCATCTTGACCAGCGGCTGTTTGACTCGAGGACCTTAAATAACGATTCTAATTCGTTTGGTTACTTTATATCTATACATTAAATTTTTCGATACTTTAAAACCCAGAGCAACAGAGAATTTAAGAAAATCAATTAAAAAGTGAGTGGTAGAAATGTGTACAAAAACTTTAGCGCTTGTTACTGCGAAATTTCTCATTGCTGCTGGCAATATCGATACCTATGGCCTTAACTTACTTCCAGGACGTCATTCTTCTTGACCGTAATGTCACCTTCTCCTCTTTTCTTGTAGTCCTTCGTTACGCGAGCTTCCGGATACTAGAAATAAGTTTATTGCCAGACCTTTTTTATTGTAAGCCGTTAATTTTGAAGTGCCAAGTTGGGCTTACCTTTTGGACTTGAGATTCCTCCTTGATCGATGGTGGCCCGGTGGCAATTTCGGCTTTTGGCTGACTTCGATTTGAAGAATCACTGCTTCCGGACAGCTTCTTGCCACTATAATTTGTTGAATGTTTATATTCAACTTTCACGGCTTGCCTAAGCATAACGAAGACCCGTCAAAACTCACCTAATCTCCTGTAGCTGGGGTTGCCGTGCCAGAACCTGAGCGGCAGCTGATGCTCCCAGCGTCCGGTCATAATCCGGTGCCGGGATCATTAACTTTTGGTGTACAAGTCGTGGCGAGTATCCGTTCGGAGCCGGATCTGACAAGGGAAGGGCACATGCACAGGTTGGAATTTCGAAAAACGCTCGCGGCTACCCCGGGGTAATCGACTACGGAGAACACGATGCTGTCGACCGATTTTCCTGCCGAGGCTTGTGGACAGAGATACAGCACTTCCGGAAAATCATGATTTGCATGCGAAAAATTAGAATCCGGGGAAGCTTTATTAGGCTCTCCCATCAGTATGCAATCACCAGTCGAGTGGCAGATTGGTAAGCAACTCGCTTGGTAGGATACTGACGAGGGTACGGATCCGCTCGTGATTTTTTCGTTTTGCTTTTTGACAAAATTTTTTGCACAAGTTCAGAACCTTTCCTAAATGTGTAAAAAGACGCCTTTGTGGCCCTGTAATACGTCTAACAAGCAAAGAAAAACTTTTTCGAAAATTCTATTTTCCGACCCTCCACCCATCGGCTGCCAAACGATCAAAAATTCTGCGGGAAAATTTTTGCAGAAGCCAAGCGTCACGCTCTCGTTTGGTTTTGTAGCACCTTATCCTGTTGCACGGCCCTGGCAAGTTGGTTAGACAGCGCTTTTATAAAAATTTTCCAGATTTTTTGAATTTGATAAGCCGGTGGGTGGGGTGCCCAAAAGATCGCAAAAATAAAATTTTCGAAAAAGTTTTTCTTTGCTTGTTAGACGTATTACAGGGCCACAAAGGCGTCTTTTTACACATTTAGGAAAAGTTCTGGACTTGTGCAAAAAATTTTGTCAAAAAGCAAAACCGAAAAATCACGAGCGGATCCGTACCCACGTCAGTATCCTACCAAGCGAGTTGCTTACCAATCTGCCACTCGACTGGTGATTGCATACTGATGGGAGAGCCTAATAAAGCTTCCCCGGATTCTAATTTTTCGCATGCAAATCATGATTTTCCGGAAGTGCTGTATCTCTGTCCACAAGCCTCGGCAGGAAAATCGGACGACAGCATCGTGTTCTCCGTAGTCGATTACCCCGGGGTAGCCGCGAGCGTTTTTCGAAATTCCAACCTGTGCCTGTGCCCTTCCCTTGTGAGTGCCCGTTGGATGGGTGAAGTTGATGAGGGTTGGAGGGCGCGGTGAAGATGTCCTTACTGAATTATGGAAATTATTTAACGCATCTATGGATTTCGTAGAAGCGAATGCTGCAAAATTGAGAAAAGATGCTATGTGCTAATACAAAGATTCTATTTAGATTTTAAGCAAAGAAACCTACACATGTACCCTTGATCGATGTCTCGCATCCACTAGTCCATCAAAGATCCCAGCAGGCTGAGGCTGATGCGGCGAGGGCATCATATTTGATTGTGCCTCCGGATAAGGTGCATGATTAGCATATCCGTTTTGTGCCGGACCGGAATAGCCGTTTTGTACCGGAGCCGCAAAGTGGTTTTGTGAAGGAATTTGAGGGGGTAAGTAGTCGAAATCTGGCTCGCTCGGGATCTGGACCGCGAGAGCATTCATCCGAGGCTTGGGAGGAGGTGGTTGGTAGAGTCTGAAAAAATCATCACCGTCATTAAGAGAGAGAGGCTAGTGGGAGAGAGAGCGAGAGAGCAAGAGAGAGAGAGAGAGCTAGAGAGACAAAGAGAGCTAGAGAAAGAGAGAGCGAGAGAGAGAGTGAGAGAGAGAGAGAGAGAGAGCTAGAGAGAGAAAGAACGAATAAGAACGAGCTATATAGAGAAGCATTTTTTACTTTAAAAACCCACTGATGCCCTTCGGCCGCCAAAAACATTTGACAAATCTGGCAGTCATTCACACTCTGCAAATTCTTCATCGTGTCGAAATTCCGATGGTTTTTCAAATGCTGTAGGTAGGCCTTGTTTTGGGATGGGGGAACGATGCCTGGATAAATTTTTGTGGTAGGCTTTTAGAAGCATACCATAACTATCCACCCCAGCAGTTGCTGGTTGGCCCATCGGTAATACCGGGACGCCGATTTGCTTGATGTGATCGGTGGCAGCTGATCTGTAGTTGTCTACATTTACGCCACGGTCTTGATCGAAGGCGGGGAGTAGATTTGGCTTTGGCGGGGTTAGCTAAAAAACTATATTGACCAGGTGAAGCCAACCTCAGATTCTGAATGGGCTGAATGGTCTAGCAAAATAAAGGAGGAGAGAAAGGAAAGGAGAGAAATTCAGTGGTTTTAGAATTTCTAAGCTTGCAAGTCGAAATCAAGAATTTCGCGGTGTAGAGGATTTAGAATAAAAAGATGATGACTTACGGGTACATAGGAGTGAGGCGGTTTTTGCAAATACTGTGGAGGTCGTTCTTGTATTTTTGGCCGTTGCACGTACTGCTCCTCCTCTTGGTAATAATAAACTGGATGTGCGTCGGCAAATCCGTAATCTGGCGACGGTTCGTACATTCCTGAAAATGTGGAAAATCGATTCAACGCCAATAAATCGATTTGAGAAATCGATTTCAATCGATTCAATTTGAGAAAATCGGAATATTAGCTTCTGCTCAATTTAGCTTTTTGATGACTTTTTAATTAAAAAGTAAAAAGTGCAAAACGTTAGTAGGAAAGAGGAAAAAGCAGTAGTAGTGTTGAAAACGTACAACTATTTGAACTATGCATAAATTAGATGGCTTAATTGGTAAAGCTATTTAGACTTAATTAGGAGCTAATTAGGTCTGCTACAGCAGGATTTTTAAAAATCACTAAGCCAGGAAAAAGTCCAGTAAAAGATCTTGCATCTCCAAATACATACCCGGATCCTATTTGTCGCTGTGCCGTGGTGAGATACCTGGCGAAAATAAAGCTGCTCCTCCCAAAAAAATATTGACGCAAGATAGGGAATACCAGTCACCGCGTCCTTCGACCGAAAACGTTCCTCTAACAAGTCAAAGAGGATCGATCTTTGCCGGGGTCCCTGAATGGAGAATTGCCGAATGGGCCAGTTCCATCCCCCGCTCGCTTTCGCCTCGATTCCTTGATAAGACCCCCGGCCAGAGCTTTACGACCCCGTAAACATGATATTCAGCTTAGGCTCCCCCCTCTTTCCCACTTGGCTTTTTCGGAAATTCAGAAGAACAGCCCGGTGACCCGAGATGGAGGGCTGACGAAAAGCCGACCCCCCTCCCCGCTTCGGGCCGGCGATAAGTGGCCGGAAAATTTAGTGGGTCCCCCCCCCCCACTTTCCGGCCGAAGCCTGATGGATGGGGTGCACGGTTTACGATGTGCCATCAAAATTCCTGCGGCGCGGGGCTCGATTTAGATTTTGTGTCTAGTTGGAATTTGAAAGAGTAGGTGGGGTTGAATCTTTTGGGTTTGCTTTGACTCTACGACATAACTTCCAATACCTTTCAAGATCGGTATCCTTCTAACAAAGGAGAGTTTTTCTGCGCGGTGAAATTTCGTGACAGGGCACGGCTCATTGGATAGAGCTTAAAGTTCTGAACAATTGCCATCTTTCACAAATCGCTGAACGACTACGGTGTACGAGAAGAATTGCGCTGAACGGGCCAGTTTTGCTTCTTTTTGGTTCGCAGTTGGATGTGAACTTCGAGAAGCTTTTCGTTTTGATTGGCTCTAAGATCCTAAACGTTTGTAAATAACGCGTCAACAAAATTTGTAGGCTTTTCATCGGTCAGTTTTGTACTGCTTTTTTAATTTTAATCGGGTATCAGGATGCCTAAATTTTTTTTATGGCAGGGAACTTGTATTAACTTGTAAATGTCACAAAATTCTTTTTTTATTTATTAAAACCCATCTAATTATTTCAAAGCCTCTTAGAGCTTTTAAAGTGGTGAAATATAAGGCTCGATTCCCAATCTTAATTGACATAAGCGCACTCGAAAATTAAAAGACTCCTTCTTCCCCAGATTCCTTCCTCCCTGGCGCCGGAAATCCATAAAAGTTTTATTCGACCCCTCGTTGGACCAACAATCGCACAAAATTCCGGGTTGCTCCTATCCGAGCGGAGGGAAAATTCGCCTCTTATCGCCCTTCAATTATTGCCTCGGCGCCGCCAAATGCCTAGACTCGCCGCTTTTTGCAAATGATCTTCAAGGGGAGGAATGGGCCACACCCTGGGTCTGGCCCAAACCCCTGACTAATTGTCAGTCGGTGACAGTGTTTTGGTATATTATCACCGTGACGTAATCTCAGGTCAAATTCCTGAGAATCCGGTTTCAGGAATTGACGAGATTTGATCGCACATAACCCTAATTTTACGCCTAGGCCCTAGCCCAAGCCATGCCTAAAAAGCCCAAGCGGAGCCGAAGCCTAAGCATGAAACGTTGTATGCTTATAACTAGCAAATTAATCTATTTCGTAACTGGTTATTTTGAAACGTTCAATTTAACGGCTCACACCCTTTATTAGCAATTTTGGACACTGACGCGACAAATCGGCAGTTTGTTAAAAGTTCACGGTCCAAAAAAACACGCAGAGGGTCGGAATTTTACGCATTTATCATTCGATTTTTGGTGCGTTGGTAACTGGTATTGTCTTTTAAAACCTGTCAAAAATTTATGAAAAAGTATCTAAATTCTAATCACATCCAAGCACAGCCGCTCGTCCATTCTTTGATGCCCGGGGAGGCACTCGCATTTGAAAGATCCGGGCAGGTTGACGCAAGCAGTCCCGACCAGACATCCGCCAAGCTGAGCAAAAAGTTGTATTTATTAAGTTTATTAAGTTACCTGAGCCTTCGCTTCATCATTGAATAAGCACTCGTCGATGTCGTCACATTTGAAGCCGTCGCCGATGAAGCCCTGAAACAGCAAGCTAGAGGAAAAAAACGCATGTGGTTGGTGTGCGTATGCGGAAATCTTGGAACACCGAGAATTAGAGAATTAGCTTCCACAAAAAAATAGTTTTGCCTTTGCCTATGGCCTTGAAAAACGATTCCCCAAAAAGCAAAATGATACGCTCCTGGGTGGGTTCGAACCACCGACCTTTCGGTTAACAGCCGAACGCGCTGCCGATTGCGCCACAGAAGCTATGGGGACGGAGGGCAGGGCTGGGGATATCACGGACCCGCACCCCGGGATAATTGACAGCCCGGACTGGGTGGTGCCGCGTTTTTACCCTTGCCTGAGCGATACGAACATGTGAATTAGATAATTTGATCATGGGATATTTATTCTTCATTTTAAGATCATGCCAGCTTTAACCCAGGCTACCGTAGTATTCTTATTTTAACCGATGTGTAAAAGCAAATTTTTACAGACCTCCTTACAAGCACAATCCGCCCGATCGATCAGATTCGTGCAATTTGCATTTGGTGAACAGGGGTTCTTGGCGCAAAAATCCTTCTTTTCCACAATATTGCAACAGCCGCGAAGCCATTCGGGGGTCGTGTCGTCACATGGGACCGGGGACCTAAAAAAGGAGCGGATTTGGAGGGTTGTCAACCAAAAAAAAAATATTCTACATCACCTCTTACAGTTATTTTAACCTTCAAAACAAATAAAAAAATGAAAGCTACTTCCCTTGAGGTCAGAGTCAGCCTAAACCTAAGCATAGACCTAAGCCTAAGCCCAAACCTAAGCAAACTCAGCGTGCTCCAAAACCCACTCAAATTTACAAGTGACACTCCCATTCTCGCACAAACAATTTTCGCATGTCCCAGGCTGGAACGTAGCACCGGATTCGTAGAATAACGTATCATATTTACACTAAACCCACGTTATCCTATTTTCGGATGTAAACTCACATATCGCTTCATATCCTGTGTTCGCTGACGTCCGCCTAATTGGCATTGTGCTGGGGATATGCGGGAATTCCCGGAAATTGGCACCCGAACGGCCAGCTCCAGATAAGAACTGCTGGCCACGGCCTCCAAATTATGGGCTGCCCTGGAAAACAACGGGATTTTTATTGTGCCCTAGTGCCGGGATTAGTAGTGTCATCAGGATTTACGCGGAATTCATGCTTGATTACTTCCAATATCTCAAAAAGACGGAGGGGGCTACACGGCTGCTTACAGATTACATTTGTCTACTCACGTGGGGAGTGGATTTAGGCACGAGATGAATGTGTCACCAATGGAGAGCGTCGTCACGTTGTTCAGATCCATTTTGAAGGTTAGAATGAATTTTGGGGTATCATCAACTTCGTGTGAGGTGACGTTGTCCTCGTCAAAGATGTTTAGCCTGATCTGGAAGTTGGAACTAATAAATCTAATAAAATAAATTATAGTTCAATTTGCTATTTCTTGGTTCTAAGTTTTTAAGTGGTGATGTACGGCTTTCTCGTGACCAATTTTGTGATAGCCCTTCCCCTTACATAAGTAAGCGGAACGTAGCTTAACGTTAGCGTAACAGGGCGTTGTGTAGTCTAGCGCAAAACAAAGTAACGCAATCTGGCGTAGTCAGTTGCTAATTGAGGTATCGTAGCCTGCGCCATGCTTCGCGAAGCTATTGCGTGACGATTAGCGTAACATACCGTAGTCTAGAATGCACTAGTCTTAGTGAACGTTGTAAGTAAAGAATCGTAGTCACGCGTACGCCGCTCTTAGCGTAGTCGATAAGTACCGTACCGTAACGTAGTACAACTTAACGCAGTGAGGGTTCGTATCCTAGCCTGAATGAGGCGAAGCGTAGCGTAGATGTTTTTCTAGTGGCTATAACTTTTCTCCTGTTTCCTTTTTTCCCTGACTCCTGAGGTCCCAACGGAGAGATTCATATTCCTCCGCTGGCAGCCCCAATTTATCGTCAACACACACCGCCCGAGGGCATCTTCTAGTCCCTTTCGGGGGTGCTCAGGATAAACCTCATTGCCTTCCGGGCAGGCACTTCGTGGCTTCTCACACAACATTTCTCCCCCTCCTCCCTTCTGTATGACTTTTTCAGGCCTCTCATCCTCGCCTTGTCCTCAACGTGCGTCAAGTAAGCCGACAACTTATTTTCAGCGCGGGCCCTCTAGCGGAAAGGGTGGGAAAGCTGAAGGGAGAAGGAGTCGATGAAAATGATGGCAAAATAAGGGGATTTTAAACTTTTTCAAAAGGGTTTGTGCAGTCAACCATTCAGAGAAAGAGAGGTATGAGCAGGAGCGAAAGAGAGAGCGAGAGAGTGAGAGAGAGAGAGAGAGAGATACTGAGGCCTTGATATGGGAACCCTATTTTTCTTGCATAATACAAAAAAATCGCGCGCGGCTCGTTTCTAAGGGTTTATAGCCAGAACCCGATAAAATAAAGCGCCTAGATAGAATTTTCATCAATTTGGGTGTCTTAAAGTCAGGAATTTACAAAATTCCATCTTAAAACTTTCTGATAAAAGTTGATATAGCTTTACAACTGTTTTTCCAAGCTCAGCCATTCTTTCGAAAACCGGAAACAAGTCATTGTTCTAGCCCTTGAGGAGGTAAATATCTCTCAAGATAAAGTTAATAAAAATTCGCCCAATCTATTTGGATTATCCCACAACGATGGCCTTCCGCTGATAGGATTAGCAATTTCTTGTGGTGCGTGCCCCACGGCTTATTATTTACTACAAAACCTGCCCCCCCATTTTTTTTGCAAAACTGTCAAAGTGCGACCAAGGATCAGCAAAAAAGAAAGTGAAACCTCATAAGCAACAGAAAAAATTGTATCCGTACGAACCTTGTCGCCCCGGCGCCTTATTTCAATTAGCGGCAAAAGCTTTTCCGAGTCGACCAAAGCCGCAAAAACCTGTAAAATGAATTATTACGGAAAATATCTAATTTTCGACATACCTCATCAGCGGCCGGTTTCTTGTTCGGGAAGTGGAATTCAACGTCCAGGGTTCCGAATTCCCATAGCGAATTTCGCAGGAGTTGGAGCTGAAAAAAAGATAAGAGGAATTCCCAGGATCTCACCTCCGGAGGATTCTTTTTTTGGCAAAGATGGACCTACCTGCGTTGATGAGAATTGGGGCTTAAGCCCAAAGACTTCCGCATAGAAAGAAAAGACGAGGATGGAGATTAGACGAAAATATAGTGCCATTTTTTAATTAGGTAAAGTGCCTTTCCGGCATTCACATTTTTCGAAGGAGTCGCGGGTTCTGAAACGAAATTTCCAACTCTAAAACAAGGAAAGAATTGTTAAATATTGCTGAAAAGAGCTACGATTGTTATTTTAATAACCACGGAATCTTCAAAACAAATGAAACTTGCGAATCCGGTGAAACACTTTTCTCCCCCGAAGGCTCCGAAATCGAGGGCCCTCAAACAGCCCTGCAAAACCCACAATAACCCCCGAAAATTGCCGAATTTGCTGAAAACAAAGCCGTAAAAAGGAGTCTCGCGGAGCCGCCGGATGAATGCCGGAAGGGGGCGTGACCAAGGACGGAGAGGGCCCAGCTGGCGTGTGTAACGGCCGCCGGGTTGGAATGCCCTCGCCCCGGGGCTTGAGGATTTATTAATGCAGAACATGCAAGGAAAAACCGGGAATTGCTAGTGAGCCCTTGCTCCCCCATTTGGTTAGAATCGGGTTGAATGGCATTGGAAAGAGCGGATGGCCGTCTTTTTTTTTTTCTGTTTCAGCCCGCTGTTTGCAGAAGCGGTTAAGGGCATGGTGCTAGCGGGAGCATAAGTCCAAGCCTAAGCCTAAGGTTCAATAAAGAAAAGAAAATTTTTTTATAGAATATCCCTAGAAAGCGTCTGGGATATCGAGGACGCGTGTTTCCCAAATAAATCCCCGGCCTTTCCCTTCGCGTCTCATGCCCACTTTTCCAATGGTTTGAGTCACGGGTCGCAGTCGCACAACGCGACACAACCCCCCGGAAAAGAAGTCCCAAAATGAACACCAGTCTGGCCGGGGCGTTGATTGCGCGAAAACGACCCCCAGAAGATGTTGGTCAACCGAACAAAGCGCCAAAGGCCATGGATCTGGATTTTTTTTGGGCAGACGGCGAAGAAAAGGAGGAACGCGTTTTTAGGACAAAGAACGGAATGGAAACTTCCTCGTCAAACGGATGGCGCCGGAAAACGTTTTAAGCAAAATCTTTGGTGGAATAGGGATTCGGTAAAATTCGGCAAAATCTGGGAGAATTTCGTAAGCTGCCAAAGAACGTGAAACAGCAACATCCCCCCACAACCGGAAATGCGAGGATTGTGGTCGGGCAAATCCAATAATGTCCCCGTTTACACGCACCACAAGCAGGGAAAAAGCTCGGGGCTTTGCTGCTTCAGCGAATCTTAGGGACTTACGGACGATATCGTCTACAAAATTGAGTAGAATACTCAAAAATTATTTTGATGCATTTTATCCATTAGAAACGTAACGTGGGCACCGGAAATCGGGATAGGACTCTTCCGGATTACGTTAAAATATTCGCCACAACCGGAAATGGGATGGGCTCAAGATTTTTAAGTGGCTGAAACGAATGTATATGAATTGAATACATGCAATTTCCGAACAAAAAGTCGACAGATTATTAACGTTAGCCTATTTTTTAAAGCAGTGGTAGCTGGGGGTAACTGGATTTTTCTGTCGGTTTATGGATTTCTGGCTACTAACTAACAAAAACTGTGCCCAAGATTCAGGCATACCTAATTAACATACCAAAAATGGATCGGACGTGTTTTGGCATGTTTCGGCAAGCATCTACTCTAAAGTCCTCACCAGCAGAAAAATCACATCACTTTCCCAAAACTCACCCACCATCCGATGAGCTACCTCCTTGACCAGCGCCCCTTTCCGTCTTACGACGACCTGGCCGAGGCCAACGCTATGGTCGCCCGTCTTGAGGTTGGCGCTTGGCTAGTAAAAGAACTTTTGTGTTTCCCAGCAACACGTGAAGCGCCAGCGCGAATTGGAGGCCAGAGCCCAGGCCCTCGAGCGGCAGATGGCCGACGTCGAGCGCGAGTATGATGGCCGATACGAGCAGGTGCGGCTGGGCCCAAATTTCTATTCTTTTTGTCAGTTGCGCGAATCCGTCGAGCGCTCCCGGACCACTTGGCGCGCCAAGTTCCGCGAGTTTGAGCAGCAGCACCTCGGAGGAGAAGCTGATGTCGGCCAAGACGCCGTGGCCGCCGCGCCCGAGACCTCAAGCAGCAAGCCGGCCCGCAAGCTGAAGCCCCGCTCGCGCTCCAGGAAGCGCTCCGGCTTGCAGAAATAGACGCAAGCCCGCCAGACCCTTAACACCGATCGATCGATTAACCTTGAAAAAAGCAGATACACTTGTTTTCGACTTAATAAAGATTTTTGACTGCGTATTTTCTGTGGAGCTGACATATTTTCATGTTGATTGTTCCATTAGTTTTCAAAACGGTACAATTTATATCATGAAATCACGAAAATCCGCGGCATTATTATTTCGTTATTTGGGTCCCTTTAATATCCCCTTTAATACTATACAAGTGTGAATAGTAATGACTCGTGGTATCTTTCCGAATGACGATTTCCCGACCATCCGAAAGCGATGTGCTACACCATTCGATCGCATTATTGTCTGCAAAGATAAAATCCACCTCCGGAACGTCGGCCAGGTCGGGGAGGAACACCTGGTTCAAAGCCTCGTCCCACTCATCGATTTCGACCTTGAGCAGCACCTCAAAGGGTGCTGGATACAAGGCGAAAGACCAATCGTGGATGAGGCCTGAAAACTCCATTAAACTTTGCGTGAAAGCTTGGTACTGGGCTTTTAATGGGGGGAAGGGAACAAGCGATATAGCCTAAGCCTACTGACACATTTTCACGTTATTTTTAGGCAATAATTTTAGCATTTTTTACGTATTAAAACTCGTTGAAATGCTGTGAAAGTAGAAGATGGATTTTTACGATTTTCCTAGATCCTGACGGATTTGGATTCCACTCTAACCCCCCCCGTTAACCGTCTAGTACCAATGAATAACCCACCCTTTACATAATCCAAAGTCTCGTAGCGCCGCTTGCAATCAACGTCAATTTCCATCGATCGTAGCCTCAGCTCTCGATACTCGACCAACTCGTCGACCGCTGCGAACTTGACCCGATCGGTCGCCAGTCGGATCGCCTCGAAGATTTCGGGATCAGGATGGAGCTCTCCGTAATCCAGCTTGGGCTTCAGATTCGGAGCTTTTTGTAGCTCCCGCAGCGTCACCAGCTTATCGAAGTCGTCCAAGATTCGAATATGCAACGTGTCGATCGTGCCAAACGTCGGGAGCTCGATTTCAAGCCGATTTTTGAGCACAAGCGTTTGAACATGACATTTCGTGAGTAGCATTCGTTGGGTGAGGGCGCCGAGGTGATTATTGAGATACTTGGTGCATTCGGGATGTCGTTGATCCATCTGGAAGGACAGACTTTCGAAATTTTCGGGTTATTTAAAGACTGTCTGACTCAAGTGATCCCCTGAAAAAAACATCGCTTGCCTGTTGAAAATTAATCCTTGGCCATTCGCATGACAAACGATCGTCCCAAAATTTTCCTATCATATTTGTTGCCACATCCCACGTCGCCCGACTGGCCGATGCGTATTCAAAGAAGCTGCGCAAGTCCAAACGCTGCAGAAATAATCCTTGGACTTCGGCAGGCAGCATTGAGTAATCCATTTTCTGTAATTTTTCTTTCATAATTCAAGTCATAATAATCTACCTTCCTCCTCGAGCTCTGGCAATCTGCCGTAGATGAAACTGGAGCGACCGGGCCTGTCGGTGAAGCGCTAAAATGGAAATTCCAGAATCTTAAAAATCTTTGGAAAACTATGTCCAAAGCTCCAAACTAACGTCGAAAATCCTGGAAGCTCGGCCAAATTGGCTACCGAGATAATTGGCAGCTTGCCATGGTCCTCAGCCAGGTAGAAAAGTTCGGTGAGTGATAGGTGGTTGTTTGGAAACTCCAGAGCATCCTGAAATACATAAAACGGTTTTTCATGCTAGGCTTGGTTTAAACTTTGCCCGATGACTCGCAAAAAACAAACTTCCAGTATTTTACGCGCCCTTGCCTTCTGGACATCACTGAAATGTTTTTCAATCCAATCCTCGATCTCCGGCCGATCTTGATAGTGTTGAAGGAAAGTTAACAGCCCATCGAAAACATATTTCGGCCTGCGAAGAGGTGGCAATGTATTGAGCATCTAGGAGAGCTCCGGTAAAATAACTTATTGTACTTCGGAAATAGCAAAATTCCGTGAGAATACAGGTCAAAAGATATCTTGTTTATGTCATTCGTGCAGCGCAAAACTGGGGGTATTTCACATCGAGCAGATGTCTTATAACGGCCAGGCATCGATTTTCAAAATAGCCCGCGGGTCAATGATGCCGGAGGGTTTATTCAGTTGCTTAGGTATTTATTCGATTTATTCGGTGTCATCAAACCACGGCAAAATATAAAACTGGAAAAACGAAGCACACTAAAATGCTATAACACCATTTGATGACGAGCTTGTTTCCGGTTTCTCAACTCCGCGCCGGCAACACAGAGCCGTTAGCCTTGCTCGAGCCTAAAACTTCCCGAGTTTGCCCCCGTTTTGAAACGGCTTACGTGAGGAAAGCAGATGTAGATGACGATGGTCGCGTTGACCCCATAGACGACGTCGCCGAGTTGGCTAAAAAATGAAGTCCAAAGCTCGCATCGGATGCTATCACTAAGGGATAACACAACTCACCTCAACACCCAATACAAAGCCAAGTCGATTTCGGGGAGCGTTGGAATGATAAAGGCTTGGACCTCGGCGTAGAAACCGGCGACCATTGTAATCCATTTGGCTTAAAAAATTCAGAAGTTTATTAGCCTTAAGCTTTGGCGTAGGCTGAGGCTTTGGCTTGGGCTTGGACTTGGGGTTAGGATTAAGCTTAGACGTAAGCTTAGGTGACACTTAGGCTTAGGCTTAGGCTTGCAACTCACGAATATTAATCAAAAACTGCGCTTTCAGGGTCTGCTTGGCGACGTGAGTCGGGATACTTTTAAGTCGAAAGAGCGCGTAGAGTAGCCAGACGTAGGTTATGACTAAAATTAGTCGTAATCCACGCCGGATACAGAGATTATACCAGTTATGATATGCGCTATTCCAGGGACAAAGACAATATACAACACCGCGATAACGTTCGGGGTGGAGCTGCCAAATGCGATCGAGTTTTCTCCCTAAATTCTAGCATTGCATAAGGATTGTCAATTGGCACCGTTGGATACCACAAAACTGTAATAGTATTTAAATACTATAAATTATACCGAAAATTGGCAACCTACCAACGATCTCCATCTACAATCAACATGCAACCAAATATGGGCCGTCATCAGGACGTTGACACCCCAGATTGTGACTGTAATAGCGCGGCGAAGCCTTGAGGTCCATACCTGCCGTAATCAATTTACAGCATCAATTTCATGCAATACCTTCTTGAAAGAAATTGGACGCACAACGCACCAAAGCCTCGATACAGCCATCACACAATTCCAGTGCGTACTTTGTGCCACCCATACAATTTGGGTCGTGTAAAAAGTCTAAAAAACTAAATTTTTAGTTTCACAGCGTACCAGTTTTCAGGCATTGAAATTTAATAAGAAGTACCTTTCCAATAAGTTGCTCATTAGCCTTGAAAAATGGTAGAAACAGCCCGAGCATCGCGAATTGGCGAATAAAGATCTCGGCGTTGTAGGTGACGAGGTTAGTGATGACTAATCCGAGTTCTAGTATATTATTAAGGTCTTACAAATATGCCGCAGACACCAGCTGAACACCGGACACATATCCACATTTTTATTGAACGTAAAAATAAGATAAATATCGAGAAAGATTGCCAACGGCACTGGAACGTCCAGTAGAATACTCACGATTTGCAGAAACTCCATAACGTTCCTCTTGACGGCCCAGAGGTTCCAAGTACTACGGTACCTTGTCGAACGAAGTCCTATCAAAAATGCCATCTCCAAACCGTTGTTTGGTTTTTCTACATAATTTCGGGTGACAAACACGAAATTGGCACGTTCCTCTATTCCAGATAAAAAAACCTCTGGCGCTGAAGTTCTGCAGGTATACCGTGGTTTGCCCCCCATATTAGAGGGACAAGTAGATTCCATCACTGTAATTACACGGCACTCGGCAATTACCCGGTATGGCAGGGAGGGTGAATGGCGTGATGCGTACGTGTTCGTCTCATGTGCCAGCTCGCGGCTTTTCGTTTTTTAATTTGCACCCTGCTCAAGGAAACAAGACCAGCGAACGAATAATGAGTCGGAGCGAACAGCCAGCAAGGATAACAGGCGAGGGCCCATTCGTCACAGGCCTGGCCCACTACAGGAAAGGTAATATGGGATCTGCAGGGTCATTTCCCGGAAGCCTAAGCCTAAGCCTAAGCCTAAGCCTAAGCCTAAGCCTAAGCCTAAGCCCTAAGCCTAAGCCTAAGCCTAAGCCTAAGCCTAAGCCTAAGCCTAAGCCTAAGCCTAAGCCTAAGCCTAAGCCTAAGCCTAAGCCTAAGCCTAACCCTAACCCTAAGCCTAAGCCTAAGCCTAAGCCTAAGCCTAAGCCTAAGCCTAAGCCTAAGCCTAAGCCTAAGCCTAAGCCTAAGCCTAAGCCTAAGCCTAAGCCTAAGCCTAAGCCTAAGCCTAAGCCTAAGCCTAAGCCTAAGCCTAAGCCTAAACCTAAGCCTAAGCCTAAGCTTAAGCCTACTGCATCTTAGCGAATTCACCGTAGTGTTCTGTTATTTCCCTGCATCGGCTAACTCAATAACTTTTTCAAACATTCATCAAACAAGAATCCGAAACTCAATAACGAATCCAAATGCAAACAGAATTGGGCTACAAAAGAGACCACGTTATTAACTCCCTGAAAATTTCCCCAACATTCACAAGTGACAGTTATTCATGGAAACTACACTAAACAGATTTTGAGAAAAAATTACGAATGACGAGGTATCGACTAGTAGGCTTCAAAGAAATTATAATCTTTGTTGTTTCAGTGAGGCTGAAGGGTCGTGGAGATCGGTATAAATCTTAAGAAATCTGGCTTTACGCGTCCATAATTTCTTCAATGAACTGCGGGAGGAACGCTGGTCGGCGTGAGATCTGTGGAGATATAAGGGTCATAGGAATTTTTTTCTTACCATAATTAGTAAATGGTATTCCTTGTGTTTCTTTGAATTGCGTACCATCAACTCACAGAGCGTAAGAAGTTCTTGGAATCTGTAATTGATTCATAATACCATATATGAGCCTAAGCATTAGAGCCGACTTCTTCATTCTTTTTCCCGTACCCTCTCTCTCTGTCTCTCTCTCTCTGTTTCTCTCTCTCTCTCTCTCTCTCTCTGTTTCTGTCTCTCTTACCTATTTGGCCCATGAACGCTTCCATGCTTGGCCAATTCTGCGGAAAAGAGAGCTTCACTGTATTTGAGTTTGGCGGTCTCGATAATTTTCCGGCCCTCGTCGGATAGGCCATCAAGCGCTGAAATTCACGTCCTTATGCAGAAGAGAACTGCCAAAGCCTACCAGAATTGCAGAGCACGATCGCCTTCACGAGCACAAACTCGGTCTGGTCCATTTTTGTTCGTCGAAGGGCCTCAAGGTTGGAGACGAAGATGTTATCCATGTATTGTTCGTTCCTGAAAGTCATGGTATGCGATGGTTGATGGTTAGAACAACGTTTTCACTATCTTCCCGTTTTTTTTTGCTCCTCCGTAGCGTAACTCACCCAGCAGGACCAAGGTGGTCGACTTTCCGCCCGCTCGGCTTTCTTCCGGGCATGGTGCCGTCAGGATGGAGCACATATCTCGAATCCCGGTTCACCAGAAAAGTATCATAGCTCTGCTTTAAGGCCAGTAGATTCATCGCCACGTATCGAGTAAGGACAAGCTGAAAATGTTGAACTTAATCGGTGGGTTCAGAATTGCATGGCTGTAAATTTTTCTAATGAACACGCACCAGGGTTGAAAAGCCGCTACACGCGACTTTTCAACCCTGGCCCCGTCTAACCCCATAATATCCTCCACGTTGCATACTTGTATACGCTTCTCCATTTTGATGCGAATAAGGAAAAATGTCACTCTCTCGCTCATTATATAGGCACCCGCGACTTCCGGCCTATGCAAATTGCTTCCTACCAAAAAGGGTTCCCGATTTCACAAAAAAAAATAATTTTAATGTCGAAAACTACGAATTTTGTAAAATATTATATACGTGCAGTCATCTCGTGGCCATCACGCACCTAATGACGTATCATACGTAGCCTAATACCCTTCCCCCTTGAGATATCTTCCGGACAGCCTGATGTTGCATGCAAAGTGGCACACACAGACACTATTTTTTATATATTGTAGGACTTTCAGGTTCCTTTCGCCCACCTTATCCATCGGATCCAGTTTCATGAAGAAATCGAATGTCTTTGCATATTCGATAGAGAGTAGCAGATCAAAGAACAGCCAGAATTTGTGGTTTGGCGGCCGTGGCGGTGGCCTGCCGGTGCCGGGCACGAAATCTTTAGGAAGCGGCGGGAAATCGGAGTCTTTCAGTGGCCAGTTGGGCATTGGCTAAAAAATATTCCATTTACAAAAATTCAATTTAATCACCAAAAGGTGGTATCTGCCGGCTTCTGGGCTTTTCAAAATATCAATAAAGATCTACCGCCAACTTCTCAGCTAACGAAAGTGCTGTATGACTTTTCAATGCCTCCTGTACACTGCCAATCTCGAAAATCATCGGGTTGTAAGTAGAATATCGTAGTTTGTCGACCTAAACGCTTAAGCAAGTTTTGCGAAATGATACCTTGATCTCCAAGTACTGCAAGCTGTCGATCATCCTTTCGAAACTGTTCTCCTTTATCCGAAGAGCAATAAGAAGCTAAAAAAACATGTTTTCGCGTTTTCTCTCCCTGCACCTTTGCATCCCTCGGCGGCTCGTCCACGTCGTCAGGCTCTTCTACCCGCGGTCTCCTTTGTTTTGCCAATTTTTCATAGAGCTCCTGGTTTTGCATTTTTCGCTCGGTTTGAATTGCTACAATATAGAACATTGCAGGAAAACTAGAACTAAATATACCAGCTGGATTCATTCCGACTTCCACACACCTCGCGAAACGACATCCACGACATGGGAATTTGCCTTCTGAAAAGAAATTAGCTAACAATGTTAGATTTAAGGGTATGTAAAAAATTAGAAGAAGAAGAAAATGGAAAATTAAGCCTAAACCCACCTTGCAAGCTTTTCTCCAAACAGCCACCACCCTCTTTACATAGCACTTTTCGTTGGCTGAGCAGGGCTCTTCGGAAAAACCTGAATCCAACTGGTTTTATTCCGAAGGTTTCAACTTACGTTTTACAGCCGTTACAGCTCGGCACATCATAATGAAATCCGGCCGTCTTATTCCCGCAAACGACACAAAATTCGGGGGCTTGCTTCTTTGGCCAAGCGGCGAAGTTCATCAATGAGACGTCGGGCTGAAATGTAAATTTGTTTTGACTAAAATGAATTATTACGGAACGAATCTGGGTGTAAAATGGCCAACCATCGAAACATGGGGGTCATATTCATCTTTTCTGCCCCTACTTGGTTTTGCATAATAAAGTCGGGGGCGTTGGTATAAAAGGCGTTTTAGCAACCAGAAGGATGATAGCCAATTTTCATTTTCAATTTTCACATCTTTTAAAGATTTTTTAAAATTGAACGCACGTAACCTTGAAGTATTTTCACTTACCTTCAACTCCGGAGAGCTCACATCTTGCTTCTCCGCCTCCTGGCTGCTGAGACTATTTTTTCGATTAGAATCCGCCGAGCCTTGGGATGAGCACGAGGGGCTCTCGCTTGAGGAATAGTTTTCAAATTTGGTCGGGAACACCTCCAAGTAGGTGCAGTCTGGCAGAGCCATTGCCTGAAACGAGAGAATGGCAAGGAGAAACTGCAACAAAGAGCACAAAATCCGAAAATAGGAAAAGATCAATATTTAGATTCGTAGAGGTTACAAATTTTAGGAATAAATAGGAGACTATAAATTATGATATCCAAATAAATACGCGAAATCATTAAAAACGAAGCTTCAGTTTTTCTCAGGAGGGGACAAAATTTAAGTAGAGGAGGAAATGGAAATGCATCAGGAAATATATAAAAGGCTTGCCGGGAAAAATAATTACTAATTTCCGGCAGTTCGTAGTCCGCTTAAATCTCATATCTTAAGACAGCCACTGTCAGTCATATCAGGAAATGACCGATCACTAACCCTCCGCCATAAAAAGCGACGTCAGCACCATGTAATAAAAATCAAAGCCCGACCGCGGGTTGGCAAAAAGGACGTTTAATGGCCGTTAATCTCAAATCGGCCACACCCATCTTGGCATAAAAGTTTCGGGGGGAGAAGGTGGGAGGAACAGCCCGTTTGTCCGCCCATTCAAACATAGGAATGATACTGATACAAGCAGAGAAACAGACAGATATGCATATACTCACGCACTTCCCCCTGTTCCAACTTTTCGGTGTTTCTGCAACCCACAGTCGCTTGGCCAAAGCGATAAGCCATCGGACTCTGATGGGGATCTCTGACGGGCCATAAACCGGAACACGGCGTGATTACGGATCCGGTTGGAGCGGGAATCAAAGAGTTCTGGGGGTCAAGGAAACAAAAAACGCTGCGATTAAGAGTAGCTAGCAGAGAACGTTGAGGATTTAAAAAAGGGTGAATGTTGAAATGTGGTGTCAACATATTACTCTCAAAGGATTATAAGTTTCGGTCGGAAAACGGATGCGGATTTAGAAACAGGGTTCAAGTTGGACCGAAGAATAGATGGTGGGCCGGAGAAGTTCTTACAGATATTTTTTTAGGCCTCGACCAGTTTTGGAGAGAGAGAGCGAGAGAAGAGAGAGAGAGAGAGTGAGAGAGAGAGAGAGAAAGAGAGATACAGCTTGAAAAATCTTCAGAATTAAGATCCGAATTTCCTCGAAGATTGCGAAATTTCGATAAAATGCCCCATCCTTTGCCCTGAGTTCGAATGCGAGAGTGCGAGGCACTAAAATTATAAAGAGTTAGTGGGAAAGCAAGAGCAAATTCATAAAATGTCCTAAAAATGACATAGTCGGGCCGAGGCTCCCATGAGAAATCAGACAATGAAAAATACACGAAAGAGCCGGCTGGAAAGCGCCACCGCAAAAACAAAACAACAAGTGGCGTGGCAATGAAATTCGACGTTCCTGAATATTAAGAATAATTATCGACAATAAAAGCAGCGTGCAAAAAATTAGACATTCCATCGTTTCGGGAAACGAGCTCAGCTTCGAGCTAAAGCAATGCGTAAAGATTTATTAGCAGGCAAGATATGTAAAAAATTTTGATTTGCACTAAAATGAGATCAGCTTGGCTGCGCAATGTGGTTAAAAAGCTATTAGAATTGAGCAAACCTCAAGAAAGCGAGACTGAACGCGAAAAAGAGAGATAGATATAATGCAAAGGTTAGAACATAAATAAAATCTCAAGCTGAAGCTCAAGCGTCCATAATTTCCTCGACAAATGACGAGAGCATCGGCGGAGGGCGGATTATCTAGACAAAGTCTGATCGGGCTATGTTAATATACCACATTTAACAAGTGAATTTCCCTATGCTTCTTTGCACTCCGGATTAGAAGTTGGACGATTCCGAGCAGCTCTTGGAATCTGATTTCTTGTTTATATCGGGGTTTTTTAGCTTTTCCTACCTAGTCGGACCAGCCGAAGTTCCGTGTTTTGCCATGGCATGCGATAGTAATGCCTCGGAATATTTATCTCTCGCTTCTTGAAGGATCTTACTTCCGGCTGGTGTGAGGCCTTCGACGGCTAAACTGATTTTAAGATAGCACATTTCGAAAATACCAGTATCGCACAGGGCGATGGCCTTCAGGAGCACAAACTCTTTGCGCGCAATCCTGGAGTGGCGAAATGCGGCAAGGTTGCAGGCGAAAATCCCGCGTAGGTTGCTGGCACTGAAGTTTTGTTTTGGTATAATTTATTGAGCTTTTATAAGAAAAATTAGACTAATTACGCAAAGGCAATCGACAATATGTGCTCTAATAACCTGTTTTACTTTTTAGGAAGCTATTTTCGTACTGCTAAACCTACAATGATTGCGCCGAATCGCCGCGTTTTGTCCCGTCCGGGTAGATGACCAATTCAGCGCTAGGGTCCTCTTGGAGACTATAGTAGCACTGCGTAATCGTCGACACCACCACGGAGATATAGCGCACCAATGCGAGCTGATCCATCGTGCCGAGCTTCTCGAAAAAGTCGAAAGTCTTCGCGTATTCGATCGAAAGCAGCAGGTCGAAAAAGGGCCAGAATTTCTTGTTTGGCGGCCGCTGCCACGTGTCCGTGGGTTTCGTCGAGTCTCGTGGTTGTTGCTTTAGCGGCCAGTCGGGCATCGGCTGAAGGTGTAGAGAATAGTCATAGATATATTATTGCGGCAGACCTTTAATTTTTGAGCCAAGTATAGCATCGAGGTTTTTTCCAAAGCTTCAGAAACATTTTTCAGGTCCAGGTGGTGAGGATTGTGGGTGGAGAGACGTAGTTTTCTGACCTACAATGAAAGGTATGTTATTTTTTTTTTGTTGAGGTTACATTAGTTTCCAGATATAGCAATTCGTCAACAAGATGTTGGATCGAATCCTCGCGTAGTCGAGGGTTCATCAAAACCTTAAAAACCATTGTCAAAAAGAGCCAATTTACCTGCACGGTTTTTATCGGCTCGTCTTCTTCTGTATCTTCAGTGGATCGCCTTTTTGTGCGAATTTGCATGTACATTGGGTTTTTGTCCAAGTTTTGGCCAGTTCGAATTGCTAAAATTAGTTTTTAGAGATTAGATGTAAATTTCCAAATTACCATCGGGATTCATCCCCACGGCTACGCAACGTTTGAATCGGCATTCTCGACATGCAAAATTCTCTAAAAAATGAAATGAAAATCGAGAAAATAAAATATTTGGTGCTTCTTTTCTTACTTACTTTCTAAAATAAAAGATGCTAAAATAAATAAAAAGACTAAATGATTATGATAAATTTTACTAATAACCTTACCTATTGACCCTTCGTAGCATCTGCCATCCTTCACGCACTTGTAGAATTTTCGGCCAATGATGACTCGCCGGAAAAACCTAAAGAGGGTTAATTCCGTTAAAAAATTCTAGCGTACGTTTTGCAACCATTACAGCTCGGAACATCGTAGTGGAAACTGGTTGTCTTTTGGCCGCACACCACGCAAGCCACCGGCGGTAACGTCCTGGGCCAAGCCTTGTAACAGAGTGCGGCTTTTTCGGGCTTAAATCGATCTTTAAGAGTAAGAAGCCGGGAAAACAGCGTCTAATTTTCTACGCTTACCTTAATATCTGTTTCCTCCCGCTGTTCGAATGCAAATGAGCTAGTGGGAAGTTCGCTATCCTCGCGGGGCCAGTTTTTGGGCTTGGCCATGCCCATAATTATGCTTTTGCAATCCCCAGGTAAAGGAGAGAAGACGCTAAAAATATAAAGTGCGTGGAAAGACGACATGATTCGAGCAAGAGGAGAAAGCTAAAAACCGGTAAATTCAAAAACTCTTAAAAGGTGAAGGTGAAAAACCAAAAATGTCCGCCGTCGCGGCTCGGATTTGGAAACAATAAAAAAACGCGAGCCTAAAACTTATCTCAGAATGTGCGTTAAAAGCACACAAAAAAGAACCTTATCGGAATAGCCAAAAAGGAAAAAATCTTCGTTTCTCAAACTTTAGTCAAGTGTAGATGCGGAAGCGCGCATGGTCATTGACCTGGGAAGGACAATAAAAAAATGGTAAAGAATGTCTGGATTGCCCGGAGGAGTAGAATCGAAATTCGAGATTGCGTTTAAAGCCAGAGTTTTCTTGTTTCGTTTGGGGTTAAGAATTAATAACCCCAGTTAAAATCTGACCGTAGACACGATAAAAGTATGGGAAAGAAATAGCTGGAACTCATGCTCATGCGAACGCTGAGGCTGAGCCTTATGCATCCATAATCTCTTCGATAAACCCGGAGACGACTGGCGGAGGCTGGGCGATCTGGGAAAGATAATTTTCAAAGTTTACGCGTGGAAATTTGTCACAGAACTGTAGGAAAAGGCGTGCAGAGAAATTTGTAAGGAAAGGTGACATAATTTAGCGTAAATTTTCATGTTATTTCCGAAGGCCCGCTTTCAAATATTTAATTTTCTGAATATTTAGCATAATCTGTTAATAGGGGTGCCTAATACGTAATAGTGTCTCGCTCGTGACAAGCCATTAACAAGCTAGCTTGAAAATCTTTTCTAGCTTTATTTACCCAACTAAAGGGTGGGGCTTCATTAGTTCTTTCACCCGCCAAAAAAGATCCTTGGAATACGAGTCACATTCGGTTCTTCTAGTGCAAGGGATCTTCATTAAATTTTTGGCCCCGTTGGACCCGGGGCTGCGGGGTGATGGACGCGCCAAGTACTGCTCACGCCCCCTGTAATTGCGGATTTTGACTTTCGGCCGCGGGCGCAAACAATTCGGACCCTTCTGGCCTAGGTGGGCCCTTGCCCTGGGTCTTCTCTGGGCCCTCTGACTTGGCCCTCCGCCTCCGAGATCAAACCACCACAACGAGAAGCCATTTTCCGACCAGGCACACAGCACATAATAAAGTCCGTAGAACCACGAGTTGGCTGGGGATCCGCCTCCCCATTCAGGTGCACGGGAATCTAATTTATCGCCTCGGGAGATGTTCTCTGTTCCAGGTTTAGAGTGGGGGTAAAATTTGTGCTACGCCGAGACCAACAAGTTCACTGAAAATTTGTGAGCCGTGTGACTGGGCAAATCCAAAGATCAAGTAAATTTTACAGAGCTCGAACGTACTATTTTTCGAGTAGCGATCATATTTTTACCGTCAAATT